ATTCCTCTTGCTTAAAGATGTGTATCATGTGGCGGTGTCTACACATTTCTACAAAAGTGATTGTCGATGAAAACGGCAATGACAAGCTCTGACGACTCAAGTGTGTGTAATGCCAAATGCGCGACAACTGACGTCAATAAACCGCATACTAATTTCCAAGCATCATTCCTTTATATTCCAGGAAACTACCATATATGAATGTATAAATATCAAAGAAGCGTATGATGAACAAGGAAATAATTGATTTGGCAGATTCCATCCGAGAGCATCGAATGCGCTAATGGCATTATATTCTTCGACAAAATATCGCATAAAAAACTCAACAAGATGAATGGTGCATTATAAGGTTTTTTATCATCTTACCTTAAATATGACCTTATCGAATTGAAATGTATTGCAGCATCTTCGATTCTGAAATATAATTTCTTAAGCTTCGATTAGTAGTTTCATCACAATCATTAACTCGATATTGAACAATAAAAAAGCACATATGACATATATCGTATTTCTTTCGTTGAAACTCGAGAAATATATTCGAATGATAATGTTAACTATATTTTTCGAAATTACAAAGATTATAATGATATTCTTGCAACGTCGTTTGGAGCGCTGATAGTTTCTGTCATAAAATTTAGCCAACTATTACATTTTACTACAAAATTCGACATTATTGTGTATTTGCATCCATCAAATCCTAATTTTGTAACGCTTGCACATGTTTTTCTTGTAACAGAATGCATATAAATAAATACAATATTATTCTGCCGATATGTTCAATGAAATTGTTTTTTATCTGCGAAAAAATATTAAGGTCTTTTGTAAAGAACTTGTGTATATATTATATTTTGTTATAATAAAAAACAATTATTTTAAATAAGTTTTTAAGCAAAATAAATGCAAATGCAAATTTAATTAAAAATATGAATTTATTACTAATTAGTAAAAGTATGAGAAAATATTGAAGAAATAAAACAAATATTATACTAATGATTTGTCTTAGATATTTTTTTCAAATAAAATGTTAAAATTATTTGTTAAAAAATGCCATTTTATTAATACGTTGAAAAACGCATCGTTTGCACATGTCTTTACTTTAATGAATACATTATTGGTCACACATAATATTAAAAAAATTACTTGAATAATACATTTCAAATATTTCTGGAGAAATTATGACAAACTGAAGTTAGATAAAGCAAAAGTAAAAAAATGAAAAAGTATAAATATGAAAATATCTTACAAATGTCGTCCTTACATGAATATCACTGGTCAGTTAAAAAAATGTAATTTGTTTATGAAGTTATATACAAACTTTATAAATGTAATATTAAAGAGTACCTTTTTCAATTAATTTATAAAAATCATGTATTTATAAATTCAAGGTACGTCTTTGAAATATAAATCTATAAACTTGCTTATAACTTTATAAAAATCAAACTGATATATACAGACGTAGAAGATAATTTTTTTATACATTTCAAATTAATTAAGTGATCAAAGTAAAGGCTGACGTTATTGTTGTTTGTGGCTCGGTCTCAATTCGGTTATCGTCATCTCCATTGTCAAAAGAATAGATACATCTATTAAAAATAAAATAAAAAACTGATTAAAAACATCTAATTATTCAATTTTCATTGTTCTTATTATATAAGTAATGAGTACGTCAAAGAAAATAAAATATTAATAATACACAACAATATTAATAATATCAATAAAACTTACCGCCGCTTCTTTTCAGTTTATTTCACGGCTTGTTGACGGTCCATCGAATGATATAAAGCTTTCCATTCTTTGTCTTTGCATTGGTAGATCATCTGTTGGTCGTGAATCGATTCCTGTTGCTAGATAATCTCTTC